GAAGAGGTCCCAGGTTAGAGCCTTGCGGAACGCTTGAAGAACTTTTAAAAAAAAACTGATTTGCTACCCTTAACTTCGACAAATTGGAATCTCTCATTTAAGTATGACTGGATCAGATAAACTAGGTATGAGGAAACATTTAGGCTCTTAAGAGATTCCAATATCACACAATGTCTGACTCTATCGAACGCCTTCTCCATGTCAGTGTAGATGACATCCACCTGAGATTTATAGTTAATGGCTTCATGAACAAATTGGCAAAAGGTTGTTAAGTTGGTAACTGAGATTTTCTGGGCAAGAAACCATGTTGGCAGGATGCAAGATTACCTGAAATTTCGTCGAAAAGTCGCTCAAAAAGAATTTGCTCGAATATTTTTGAGACTGCACTCATAATACTTATGGGGCGGTAATTCTTTATTTCATTTCTAGCCCCAGTTTTATGAATAGGAATAATTTTAGAAATTTTCCATTTGTCAGGGTATTTCGAAGTATTTAAAATTAAATTGAATATAATATTAAAAAGTTTTTTACTTATAAACACTTTTCTAATTGTGTTTGTTAGAGTAATAGTCCCCAGTACATTGACTTTTAAATTTTGTAACTCATGTACACCCCAAACTTCCTGAGTGGTTTCATAACACCAAGTCGGACAATTTTGTTCATATGTTCAACCTGGACGATGGAACATTGTTTGGCTAAATTTTTAGAATCTATGGTCAGAAACAAAAATTAAATGTCAGGAATGTAAAATGTTTCATGCTTTCGGCTTTTTTCAAATGGGATGCCCTATATTTGGTTCTATATTCTTGAAGAGCATAATTTCCCGATTCCAAAAATATATAGTTTGTCTGTAGTTAGTCGAGCCGTCTCATATATATCAGGCTCCAAAAATTGTAAAAATACTATAATACTATTTTGTGCACCATTCTACTTGTACAGGGTGTCCGAATTTGGATGGTTTTAATAGGAAACGTCAATTTCTGAGCAAGATACAAAAAAATGAACCCCCCACTCCGAGGCTCAAATTTCTTGAAATTTTGATTGGTGCAAACCGCATTTTGATATCTTCAACCGTTTAGCCGCTAGAGGGCGATTCTCGATTTTGAGCAATACTGTGAAATCTTCATAACTTTCTTGTTTATCAAAATAACTGATTTCTGTAAAAACTTCCTAAAGGCATTTTTTCAAGCAGAATTCAGTGACGTTTTCAGTTTTTTTCTATTGGGCCTCGTTTTCAAGATATTGACCAAAATCCGGTTTTTTCCAATGGGAACCACAAAAATTCGTTTTTTCCATAAGAAACAATGTGTTAAAAAAGGTCTTTATATTTGTAAGGAAAATGAGAAAGGTCTCTTTCTAACTCATTGTTTCTTATGACAAAAACTAAAATATTTTTTTTTCTGGAAAACTGTTAGAGATAAACCCATCGAAATTTGTATCATTGAAATCATCAAAAGCAGAGCTTCCTAAAGAGTTATTAATACATAGGGTGTCCCATTGAAAAAAATCGGATTTTGGTCAATATTTTGAAACCGAGGCCCAATAGAAAAAAACTGAAAACGTCACTGAATTCTGCTTAAAAAAGTGCTTCTAGAAAGTTTTTACGGAAATCAGTTATTTTCATAAACAAAAAAGTTATGAAGATTTCACAGTATTGCTCAAAATCAAGAATCACCCTCTAGAGGCTAAACGGTTGAATATATCAAAATGCGATTTGCACCAATCAAAATTTCAAGAAATTCGAGCCTCGGAGTGGGGGGTTAATTTTTTTGTGTCTTGCTCAGAAATTGACGTTTCCTATTAAAACCATCCAAATTCGGACACCCTGTACAGGTCAGAGCTGCAGGTAAAATTTGAGGTACTTGGTTTCTCTGATAGTATTTTTAAAATTTTTAGAACCAAATATGTTGGAGACGACTCAACCAAATATAGACAAACTATATATTTTTGGAATCGGAAAATTATGCTCTTCAAGAATGGGGAGCCAAATATAGGGCATCCCATTTGAAAAAAGCTGAAAGCATGTAACATTCCACATTTCTGACATTCAATTTTTGTTTCTGACCATAGATTCTAAAAATTTAGCTAAAACCGTACAACTTGTATTTACATCTTTCTTCTGCCTATAAAGGTAAAGGATGTAGGTGGGTTGTCAATATACAGGGTGTCCCACGAGGTGTTTCCCAAATGATAACTTCGGAACGTATCATCGTATGTTTCACTGTATAATTTTTTTTATCATTTTCTTTAACAAAGCCTTAACAAATATGACATTGCCGATTTCGTAATTTAATTTTATAACCAAAAATGCCATAATATGCCATGGGTTACATTTGAGATTCGAAAGTTGACGTCACTTGACTGAAACTGAAGCAAAAGTGGTGAAATTGGATGACAATGATAGAAATGGCGCAAAAAGTTACTCAGATCCTCAAAATTTCAATTATATTGGATGACGCGTTCCGAAGTTATTACCTGGGAAAAACGTCGTGGGACACCCTGTATTAAAAAAAACACCCTGTACTGTACAGGGTGCTGCAATTTGGAGTGTTTCAACAGGAAAAACATACTTCCAGACCAGATAGAGGTAAATTGACTTAGATGTCATGGGATCGATTGTCGAGAAACGTCGATTGTCAAAAACCGTATCGCGATATCTTCAATGGTACCATTAATACAGGGCGATTTTCGATTTTCCCCTATTATGAAAAATGGCTATAAGTTTTTTATTTATCAATTTTTTTCATTTCTGTAAAAACATTATGGAGACATTTTTTTGAGCACAATCCAGTGGCGGACTCGGTTTTTTTCTATATCGCTCCGATTTCGAGATATCGACCAAATTCCGATATTTTCAAATGGAACTTCCTATATATTAATAGCTCATTAGATAGCTCTGTTTCTGCTGATTTCAGTGATATAAAGTTCGATAGGTTTATCTTTAACAGTTTTCGAGAAAAAAAATTATATCTGTTTTGTCGTAAGGACCAATGTGTTAGAAAAGGATTTTCTATGTGTAAGGAAAGTGAAGAAGGTCTCTTTCTAACACATTGTTTCTTATGACTGGAACAAATATAATTTTTTTTTTGGAAAACTGTTACAGATAAACCTATCGAACTTTATATCATTGAAATCAGCAAAAACAGAGCTATCCAATGAGCTATTAATATAAAGGATGTTTCATTTGAAAATATCGGAATTTGGTTGATATCTTGAAATCGGAGCGATATGGAAAAAAACCAAGTCCACCACAAACACGTATAGCCATTTTTCATAATAGGGGAAAATCGAAAATCGCCCTGTATTAATGGTATCTTTGAAGATATCGCCATACTGTTTTTGACAATCAACGTTTCTCGAAAATCGATTCCATGACATCCAAGTCAATTTTCCTCTATCTGGTCTGGAAGTGTGTTTTTCCTGTTAAAACACTCCAAATTGCAGCACCCTGTACATGTAATTTTAATTCCAATTGACTGTTTTTTATGTTATATTAATGATATCACATTTGTCAGACAAAAATCTCGTGGCAAAACGGCGTCCGATGCCCTTTACATGTTCAAATTCAAATTCAAATTTTTTATTCATGTTAATATACAGAGTACTTACACACGTCAAAATTGTAATAAAAAAAATAGAGTAAAGCACTACTCATTATAGGTATAAAAATTCTATGTATAGATAGATTCTATGTATTCTATAAATGTATCTATAAGGGCCATATTCTCCGTAATTCATAAAGCCTGGCTTAGTAGAAAAGCTCAGCTTTGTCACACAAAAAGCCAATCGTTTTCACTAAGCCAGGCTTTATGAACTACAGAGAATATGGACCTAAAACTTAATCCTAATCTTTCACAATTTAAAAAACTGTTGGGGGTGTCGAACCTCCAAAAATTGTAGGGTCAATGTACTGGGGACTATCTCGACTATAACCTATATAAATAAATAAATATAGAATGTATTCATGGAAGAAGATAAAAATTCCAAGGAAAATTTAGAATATCAATCTTTCATTAAATTTGAATAAATTTTAATTTTCAACATAAATTTTCAAACGTAGGTTTGTAGGAAAAAAGGCGAAATTTACCCAACCCTATACTTACCTAATTCCTTATTAATTCTTACTCGATTTCATAATACTTTTTCTGGTAGGTTTTCCCGAGGGTTATCCTCTCTATATAAGTTTTTAGCTATTGTAATTGAATATATTTAATTACTTTTTGTCCTATTTATCCGAGTCTTTATCATTGTTCATCTACTTATACTTCTTGAGGTTATTTGAGAGCCTGATTGCAAAAGCCTAAATCTTAATAGGTAGTTCCCACTTTACACTGTAATGTAATTGCATAAATAATAAATCTAAGTAGGTAAATACCCAAGTGAATACCTATTTACTGCACTACATAACATTTTCTTTAATAGGCCTTTCAAAACTGATTATCACACTAATAATTCTCTACAAAACATTCCCAAAAAATAAAAAGTGATCCGACCTCAAATAACTGGACTTAATCCTAAATCCATTTCATTTTGCTCTTTATTCCTGGCAGAAAATAAAGGCAATCCCGAACACAGCCCCGAGGGATTATATCAATTTCACCCACAACACCAGAGAAAGCTCGAATAATATTCGGGAACAGCTTTTATCTTTTCATCACTTTATAGCTGTGCCTCAGAAAACAAAAGAAAAATGACCCGTGAAATTACGGAATTGAACGAAAGGAATCTGAAAGAGTAATCGAATAATTAAATACCGCCCTGCTGCTTAATTACCAGTCATAAACAATTTTGACAAATTCACTTTGACTTTAAGCCCCCACCACTTTAAATGATTATTATGTACACACTAATTATGCATGTTAATTAAATTAATTAACACCTAGATGGTTCATGTGATTCTTGTGGCAAATCTAGATTCTTGTTATTGCCCCTTTAAAGGAAACAAGCTGGCCCCTAAACAAAAACATTCAAGCTGCTACAAAAACCAGAAATCAACTCACCTCTTTATTGCTACATAATAAAACAACAAAATTACAGTCTGCTTGATTTCTAAGGTCACTCGATCAGTAACTAAACCGAAAAACACAACCGCGAACAATTCACACTAAATTTTGAGTCATTTTTTATAGTTTTTATGAGCCAAAATCCTCTGGAAATTATTTTGAAAACACACCATCAGATTTATCGATCAACGGCGGCCATTTTAACTTCTTTTTCCTTCCCTAAAATTTTCCCCTCAAGCAAGCAGTCAAGTCACAGTTGTTAGTTAGTAGCCCTCTTCATTCAAACGAAAATTACTCGACTGAAGACAGCACCATCTGTTGACAACTACGAATACAACTATATAGATTAAAAAATGTTTTTTGTCTCATATTTGAAGGGGTTTTCGCTTCTCTGGGTTCAGAGTGAAGAGTAGCTCTTTTTTACTTTGGCAAGACTGTTCTGAACGCTTCATAGAGGTACTCAGATTTCATATAATTCTTGATACAGTTAAGCTGCATTTTCATTAAAATGATTACAACCTGATTCCGATAATTTTTGTCCAAATTTGTCCGGAGCAGGTCTATACGAAGCAAATGAAAACCCCTTTCGACGGGCGATGGTTGAGGTTATGTTTTTTTAAAAACAAAAACTATTTATCCATGACCATGACATTCTTGGATCATGACTATTTACCAACAAATAACCAACTACCATTTTACATCTCTTATCTCTACTCGTACTAGTCGTTCTCCTACTCTATTACTTGTAAAAACTTAAAACATAAACGTTCATGCTTCTAATGCCCTTTTCACTGTTTAATTTCAAAATTGGGGACTGTTGAAACTTATAATGAATCCTAGACAAAGAAGGGCGACTGCCAGGATTGGCATGATTCCTGTGGTAAGCCTCTGTTGCCTTTCAATATCATTTCAAAAATTTAAATTGTGAATAAAACACTTAGCCTAACAATTGTAGTATCAAAAAAAATGTTTGCATGTCCTATAGTCCCTCGTATAGTCCATTCCATCGCATTCTGACCTGACCAGCATTAATGGCTGCTTTAACAATTATTAAAAAGGGACAAACGATTTATTTGTCAGTAGGTCCTTTGGACACAGATCTACTGGTTTGAGACTATGTATAGATCCCTTGACAGTGAACTGCGAGTGCCTCCCATGTAAATTCAAATTCAGATCAAATGTCTTACATGGGGTTACTCAAGGGGTGTGACACTTCCAAGTATTTTCAAGTTTATTTATTTCAAAATAGTTACAAATATTGTTACATTAAATTTATGTTATAATACTAATATTATATATAACTAACTAAAGCACCTAGATGACTTAACACCTGTATGTGCTTATTTTGATATTTAAAATTTTTGTAATTGTATTTAGAGATAAGTTTTTTTACACGTTTACTATCGCGCTTACGGAAAAAAAAAGAAAAGAAAAATCACTACAACCTAAAAATTACTTACTTATCTAATAAAAAATCTAGTACTTACTTAATGAAAAGCACAAAATTATAGCCAGGTCTTATGACAGCAGTTTCAGAAATGTTATTCTATTTTCCCAAAGATATTTTTTTGCTTGTTTTGAAAACGTTTTAGCTCTAATATTACTTTTTATTGTGTCAGAAATCAAATTATACGCTTTTGGTCCAAGATAGTTAACTGATCTTTTGTAGAATTCACTATGAAAATTCAGTATAATTAGCATATTCTTTGTATTATTTCTAGTTGAATAAGCATGAGATATAATATTTTTATCCTGATTTTTATGCATAAAACAGACTACTGAATGAAAGAATAGTATTCTTAGATTATTAATTTTACAATTATAAAGCAGATGTGTTGGATAAAGGTAATCTTTCTTATAGATGATTTTTAAAATTTTATTTTGAATTATTTGTAATGGTTTTAGATTAGTTTTGTACATAGCACCCCAAGCCAATATACCATATCTCAGCAGGGATTCTACTAAACTCTGATATAATGTGGTTATTAAAGCCTTCGATACAATATTTCTTAAAATATAGAACCTATGTATTAAAGTTTTTAGCTTTTTGGTAATATATTCAACATGTTTTGTCCATTTTAGATTAGAATCCACAAAAATATCCAGATATTTTGCATGTGGTACTTCATTAATTTTTTCGCTAAATGTATCGATCTCTATAGAGGTAAAATCTGGACGATTTCTGTTGATTTTCGTAAAAGCTATGTAATTGGTTTTTTGCAAATTTAATGAAAGTTTATGGGTATCTAGCCAAGTTTTTACTCGTTTCAAACCATCTACTACCTTAGATCTAACCTCTTCCCAAGTGCTGCCACAGAAGACCATTACAGTGTCATCTGCATGGGAAATTATTTTTGCCATTATTCCCTGATCTACCAGAGCTTTTATGTAAATATTAAAAAATATTGGGCCAAGGACAGTGCCCTGGGGGACACCTATATTAATCCTCTGAGGCCCGCTAAAAACGTTTCCAATTTTTGTTTGTTGTTCCCGATCAGTTAAATAGTCTGTACAAAGCCTCAACGCAGTCCCTCTCACTCCATTGGATTCTAAAATACTCAATAGTATTTTGTGAGAGACTGTGTCGAAGGCCTTCGCCAGGTCCAGAAATACAGCAATACACTTTTTGTCTTGATTTATGTTATTAGTGACTTCTTTGAATAAGGTGTCTATTGCATCAGTGGTACTGACACCCTCTGTAAATCCATATTGGTCTTTTGATAACAAACCGTTTTTTGTAAAAAAGTTTGTGAGGCGGTTTTTTAGACACTTTTCAAAAAGTTTAGCAAAGTTACCAATTAAGCTTATTGGTCTATAGTTTGATATTTGATTTTTAGCACCTGATTTATAGATTGGTATAATTATTGATTTCTTAAAATGGCCAGGTACAGTCCCTGTTTCAAAAATGAGTTTATAAATATGCTTAAGGGGTGCCAGTAGATACTGATGCACATTTTTGATAAGTTCTACAGTAATCATATCGAGACCTGGACTACTGTCTGTTTTTAAACTGTTGATGTGCTGAATAAGTTCTTTGTCAGTTACTGGAGTTAGGAATATTGATTTGTTCACTGATTCAACATTATTTTCTAGGTTAACTTGAGGTATTTTACCAAGCATCTGAAGACCTATGTTTGAAAGATATTCATTACAGTGGTTTGCCATTTCAAGATCAGTTGCAAAATTTTTGTTATTAATACCTGTAATTTTTAAGAGACTTTTTGTTTTTTTGTTATTGTTTGTTATTTCTGTAATAATTTTATATGTTTTTTTAATATCTTGTTTGCTACTTTCTATTTTTTGCTTATAATATTCATTTTTTACTGTATTTAAGAGCTTTTTAAGGTGGTTTCGATAATTTTTGTATTCTATCTCTTTTTCTGTTGTAAAGTCTGTTTGAAGTTGCCTTTTAATCCTGTCTCTCTTTTTGATAGCCTTATATAATCCTTGTGAAATCCATGGCTTTAACTTTTTGTGTTTTGTGTTAATAGTTTTTACAGTTTTGCTTTGCGTCACATAATTTTGAACAATGGTAATAAATTTACTAAAGCTAAGTTCTGTTTCGTTAGTATCTAATACCTCTGCCCACCTTTCGTCTTTAAAGAACTCATTCAGCTGTCTCCAGTTAATCTCTGAGATTATCACAGTATTGCTCTCGCTATTATTATTATCTTTTTTGGTTGCAATATTTAATGAAACTGGATAGTGATCTGTAATGTCAGTCTTTATGATATACGAAAATATTTTTATGTTATTTAATTTAAGATTCATTTTGACAAATATGTGATCCAAACAACTTTTTGTTTTTTCTCTAGTACTTAATGTTATTTACATATGATTTAAAAGCATTACAGGTTAACATTAAATAATAGGTGACAGTAAGAGGATCTTGGTTATCTAATAAATTAAAGTTAATATCATCAACCACTACTTCAATATTTTTCTCCGTAATGTCAATTTTAAAGTAATATTCAAAGTCATTTATAAAGTTATTTTTGTTTGTAGAGGGTGACCTGTAAACTATTGTTAAACCATACTTTACACTGCTTACATCTAAAATTATTCTACTTACTATTATTTTTGTCGATTGGATAGTGTGGCCTTTAACTTCATGATTTAAACTGCTCCTTACAAAAGTCAAAACGCCATCATTTTTCTTAATACTTCCTTGGTTATAATAGCTTATATCCTTTCAAAGAAAATTCGTTGTAGGAGTCCAGTTTAAAGCACTCTGTCAATGCTACAACATCAAAAAAATCCGAGAAAAAATCTAAATTATAGGTTTGTAGGAAGGCCACCAAACTGTCAAAGTTTTTTCTAACACTACTAATATTCAGATGGAGTACATTTAAACTGTTGTTGGGATCATGTTTATGCCGAATCTGGTCTGGATTAATTGTTTCGCCCAAATTTTCATCTTCAAGTATATTTATCAGGTTTACCAAGTTATTAGTCATTATAGCCATAAGCTTGACCATAATTTATTCTGCTCCTAATCATTTTTGTATGATACTGGTAAGATGGGCAATCAAGGGAACTTGCTTCGTGGTCTATGGAATAGGTTGTCTTATATTTATCATTTCCTCCTTTGCAGTTTTGAAACTTTAGATTTTGTCCTGTTTTTACATAAGGACATTCACGTCTCGTTCCTTAGCGCAATATGAGCATACAACTTTGTTGGTGCAGCTGGTATTTTTATGATAAAACCCCCAGCATTGGTAGCATTGAGGAGGTTTCACACTTTCATATAGAGTGTATCTTTCCGAATCTATAAAGACTTTTCCGACTGTAATTAATTTCTGAAAATTTGTGGGTGAACAGTCAGCAAAAATGTTTTTTTTTGTTACTTTTTGTGTTAGTTTTTATGTGCACAACTTAAAATAATTCATTTTCTGCAATAAGATTATTTTGATTTTTTATTGCCTGCTCTACTTCAATATTGGTCATGTTTTTATCAAATCCGGTGATCTTTATTTGAGGATTCTTTAATTTGGTTTCTTCAATCTGATAAGAAACTCCTAATTTTTCCACTGCCGCTTTTTTAAGTTTTTGCACATCTTGGATGCTATTGCACTTTATTTCAATACTTCCCTTTTCAGTGCTCTGTATTTTTTTAATTGCTATGTTTAATTGTGATGGTTTGATAGCATCCATCAGTTCGGTTTTAGTGGTAGTAGTCTCTTGTGTATTTTTTGGTTTAATTAATATATTGGGAATATTTTTAGTTTGAAGATTTTTCTGTTTTGAGTTTGTTGGCATGCTGGCTACAGTAGCGTATGTTGCTTGAATATTGTAATCAGGAGTGCTTGATGGTTTTTGGTCGGTTTTTAAATGTTTGATTTCTTGCTTCAAGCTATTTATTTCATTTTTCATTGATAGTAATAATTTATAAATATTTGCCGACTTAGCAGCTGTTTCTTGGCAGCTTTTACACAGTAGGGTTAATTTTCGTTTTAGTAGTGGCATGCATTTTACCTCAGATGGCACATTGTTTGTGTATTTTATGCAGACATATGTCACACAAATATCCCTTATCAGTTTCCTGAAACTCCATTTTACAATAAGTACAGTTCTCCAAGTCAATATTCTCCTCATCAAGAAAAGTTTCATCTTGATCTGATTCACTTACTGACATGTTAAATTATTTTTATTCACTTATTTTGTTTATTTATAGAATGCATAAAAAGTATGGGTCGAGCTTCTTATCAGTTTTTACCGGTCGCCCGGGTTTTTTTATGTTTACATCGAGATTAATTTATTTCTTCACTGTGTTTTAGTTTCATGTAATTACCGTTTTTGCGTAAACAAATAACATATTTTAATAACAGATTCAAATTCGGCACTTTTTGTTTACCACACTGCACATTTTTCAAAATTTAA